TTTGGAATTTTCTGATGTAGTTGCTCAATCTAGAGTCGACCTTTACATAGAAGCTGCATTAAATTCATTTGTAACTGGTATTAAAGAACCATATAAATCACTCCTATTTAACGCAACACCTACAACTCTTCAAGCTGCCTTACAAATTTGTCGAAAATACGATAATTTACAAATACAATCGCAATGCAAAGTATTTACTAAACAAAATGCCAAAAATACTAACGCCATTCAAAAACCGAAACCTACAAATACCGTTCAAAATACACCTATGTGGCGATTCCCTTCAAACCAACAATTTTACAATCCGCAATTTTACCAACAGCCACAACGATCTAACTTCCCAACTGGCCCGAATTAACATCAGACCAAATTATTTTAATAATCAATTTCTAAGACAAATTCAACCACGACAGCTTAATTTCTATCCACAAAATAGACAAGGTCCACCAAAAAACTTTAAACCGACACCCATTGACTTAGATCTCAATAATTATGAGAACACACATTTGCCGTACATTTATTTACAAAATTTAGATTTGCTAGTTCTTATAGACACTGGTGCATCTGTCTCTTTGATCAACACTCAAATTGCTTTCAATTATTTTCCAGATTACATTTATCCAAAACACTTTTCAACAAAATCTGTCATTGGTACTAAACACGGTGAATACGCTTTGCGAATTCCTTTGTTCAATGAACATGGCATTAACACTGAAATTGAATTTCTCATTTTAGACTGGCACGAACGTTTTGACTGTTTGCTAGGATATCATGATCTACACAAATTTCAAGCTACTTTACAAACATCTAAGAATTTGCTATCCATTGATCGTTTAAACTTTATTTGCCACACTGACAAAATACCACGTAAAGTCCCGAACACTGTAATCAAAAATCAAGTTCTAAAATCCCCTATCAAAAATGGACAAATTATCGTTCCACCTATTAAATATCTAAATTCTAACGATTACACACCCGAAATGATTTGTACCGTTAATAATTACGAAGTACTATACCCAGAAAATCCAAATCTATTAGATTTAAACTATCAATGCATCAAATACGACAATTTGGATAATTACGACATTGAAACACCCCAGAATGAATATAATTTAACTGATATTGGAACTGTAATAAGAACTGATCACATGAATGACGAGGAAAAATACAAGATAACAGAACTTTGTAGAAAATTTCCTGAAGGTTTTCTAAAACCTAACGAAAAATGAGAGCCATGTACCGTAAAATCTCATTCTATCAGAACAAAACACGACGGCCCAATATTTGTAAAATCTTTTCGCTATCCAGTCTATTTAAAAACCGAAATTCAGAAACAAGTCGCTAAACTTTTGCAAGGTGACATCATCCGTCCCAGTACAAGTCCGTACTCATCACCTGTATGGATCATAAATAAGAAGCCTGACGCTTCCGGCGTTAAAAAATATCGCATGGTAATCGATTTTCGTAAACTAAATGACATTACTATCGAAGATAAATATCCTTTGCCCCGAACTGAAGAAATATTAGAGAGTTTAGGCAAAGCCAAATATTTTTCAACGTTAGATCTGGCACAAGGATTCCATCAGATTCCTATGCACAAAGACTCAATTGAAAAGGCTGCCTTCACCGTCGACAACGGGCACTATGAATACTTACGAATGCCCTTCGGACTGAAAAACGCTCCAGCAACATTCCAAAGAATGATGAATTTTGTTTTAAAACCTTACATCGGAAAAATATGTTTCGTCTATTTAGATGACATAATAATTTTCTCAAAATCATTGCAAGACCACCTTATTCATTTGAAATCTATATTTCAAGCTTTCATTAAACATCAATTGAAAATACAACTTGACAAAACAGAGTTCCTAAGAACAGACGTTCCATTTCTGGGACATGTAATAACGCCAAACGGAATTAAACCAAATCCGGATAAAATCAGATGCATTCAAGATTTTCCAATACCAAAAACTATCAAACAAATTCAAGCATTTTTAGGATTAACCAACTATTACAGAAAATTCATTAAAGACTTTGCCAAAATTACCAAACCTTTCACTAAATGTTTAAAGAAAGACGAGAAAATCAACATTTCAGATCTTGATTACATTCAAGCTTTTGATGTAATAAAAAAAACTATCACTAATTCACCCGTACTCCAATATCCTGATTTTTCAAAAACGTTCACGTTAACAACCGACGCCTCAAATATTGCGATAGGAAGTGTTCTATCACAAGACGGAAGACCTACCAGTTTTCATTCAAGAACATTAAACTCTGCTGAACGGAATTATTCCACCATTGAAAAAGAACTCTTAGCCATTATTGATTCATGCAAACACTTTTTTTGGACATAGATTTCTGATTGAGACTGATCATAAACCTTTGGTGTGGTTATCAAATTTGAAAGAACCAAACCAGAGATTAATTAGATGGAAAATCAAACTTGAGGAATACGATTTCGAAATCAAATACAAAAAAAGGCAAAACAAATTTAGTTGCTGACGCCTTAAGCCGAATCCAGATAAATGTTCAGGATTATCTCGAAACCCAATCAATGATCCCTAACGCACCCGAATCAGAAATGACTATTCACGAAACAGACAACAGATCAACTAACACGAGACACACTTCGCCTGAATCAAACCCAAACTCGATTCAATTTTCAGACAAAAACTTTTATGCCTATCCTCACCGAATTGAATTTATAACAGGCAAAAAGAAAAACAATATCAAATTACTTCCGAATAAGACACTAAAGGTGCTCTTTAATTAATCACTTATGTTCCTCATTTATTTTGGATTGTATAAAAAATTATTGTACCCCTGGTATTAAATACGGAATTTGGTACGACGATCAGAAACTTTTGCCCATACTTAGTAAAATTATGACACAATCTTTTTCTGCAAAACATATTGTACTAGAAAAAGCTGCATTTAAACCAATTTATTTAGACAAACAAGAAATGAAAGACGAAATAACTTTGTACCATCATAAATTTCACAACGGAATTAATGAAACTTATTCTCATTTCCAAAAGACTCACTATACACCAAAACTTAAAAACCTTATAACTGACATCATTAATAAATGCGAAATCTGTTTAAAAGCTAAATACGAACGAAAACCTTACAAAGAACCAATCCAAGGCCCATTTTTCAGTAACAAACCATTCCAACTAGTGTTCATAGATATTTTTACTATTGAAAATACTAAATATGTAACTTTTATGGACCACTTTAGTCGATATGCCCAAGCCTATCAGACCATGTCACGAAATCACGTTGACATACTATCTAAAATGAAACATTTCTTTTCACATCATGGATTTCCAAAATCACTTCATGCCGATTATGGAGAATTACGTTCAGAAGTTATTAAAGATTATTGTAAAGCTCATGAAATACATTTGCACTTAGGAAGCACCAGCAATCCTAGTTCTATTGCACCAATTGAACGATTACATAGTACCATTGGAGAAAAATTTCGAATCCTAAGACAGACTCGAAAAACAGACACTACTACTGACCTAATGACTGACGTTATATTAAATTACAATCAATCTGTTCATTCTACTACAAAACATACACCTTTTGATTTATTATACGGTAGTACTGAAGACCCTTATTCATCACATCTTAAACAAATATTAGAAAAAGACAAAATTAATGAACAAATCGCTCACGATTCTTATAATCAATTAAAAAAACAAACTAACAAAATTAACGAAAAACGCGTATCTAAGATCCCCGTTTTAAAATCTCCGATCTATATCAAAATCCCAATCAGACAAACTAAGGACAAACCAAAATATCAAAAACACACTATTTTCAAACAACAAGGAAATCAAATTTTAATCAAAGATAGAAAACACATGCTGAGACGAATCAAGCCTCAACGTAAAAATCCTTTACAGAGCTCTACCAGTCCAATGCCTATCAATTCGAGCGCCACTGATGAACCCTCTGCTCAAAGCACCTCCGGTAATCAAACTGCCGCTAGGAAATTCAAGATTAATCGAAAATCGTCATAAAACTCAATTCCTTATTAATTTAAATTATATAACCAATCCAAAACTACATGAAAATCAACACGCACTGAATCTACAGAATTAAAAAGTTATTTTCTTCTGTAAAGGTTTGCAAGGCACTTTTGAGCACAATACTATCAATATCCAAGAAAGCATAGTTTCTGTTACACAAAATATGTCTTTTCAAATGAAATTCTTCGAGCAAATCGCACATCAAATAAATTTAAATTCAAATTAATCATTTGAGCATCCTATCCATTCTTTCATTAAATCATAGGGAAATAAATATCCTCATTGAAGATTTGCAAACTTTATACCATAAAGATCATCTGTTAGATTTTGAAACAATGCACCCTTTTGAGATTCTGAATCTTTGCGAACTATCAGTTGTAACTTTGCGAAATGAATCATATTCGTAATTCATGTACCTCTTCTTGACCTTAAAAACTTACAGTGTTTTTGAATTGTATCCGTTAATTATAAGGAATGAATTAATAAAGATCCCAAGCAATTTTACTTTGTAATTTGAAGAAGAAAGATTTTGCTCCAATTTAATCAAACTAAGTAACAATCCGCATTTATGTTTTTAATTACTAAACAGGCACATTTAAGCCATCTATGTTGGAAAATTGTCCTCATATTCACTTAAAATACTATTAATACTAATATTTCAATTGATATTAAAGACTGCAAGCAGATTGAATTATCATTGCCTTTACTTGAAAGTAATTTTAGCTTTTTAAATCCTTCTTATTACCAATATCATTTGGAAATAATAGTTCATACTAAGTTGCAAAACCTTTCTTACGACTCTTACAGCTTTGGAACCATATTGTAACTGTAAATTAAATTTTCTCTAAGTTGGAGACCAACTTTTCGTAGGAGGGAGGAGTTATGGAATCCTGTTGGTAACATAACTATGTGGTACAAGCCCATTATTCCAAAAAATTGAATTGTATGGCAAGCAAGCCCATTAAGAAATATTTGCTTTTTACTTCTTTTTTTTCTATACAGCTCTGTTATTTTTCCTATAAATACTAGAATTATATCGAGGCACAGACAGATTTTGTTCAGTACTTGTAACCACTATTTGTTCCTGCAATAAAGTCTGTTATTTTTTTACCATACGACATTGTGCATTCTTTATCTTATACTGCCCCATATTCAAATGCCTACGTAAAATGCTAAACAAAATCAAGTAAACTCAAGAACTTCAGTCATCAATAATCAATATATAAATAATATCTATAAAATAGTTAATTAAAATGATATAGGAGTGGCTTCCGGCAATACCGGCCGCAAAACAGCTACAAGCAAAGCTGGAGGAGTGTATGGTGGTTCTCCGTAATCTCCCACTAAAAGGAAGCAGATATTGAACAAACTTCTTCAGGACATGGATTAATGCACGTGGTCCGATGGTATAACTACAACTAATTGGAACGTACTATACAGGGTGTCCCAGAAGTCGACGTCAAGCCGAAACCGGGTGATAGGCAAAGTCATAACAGCTATCAGAAAAATATTTAAAAAAAATTTATGTATGTGTTTTGAAAATTATAGGTCTTTGAAAAAAATATAGAAATTTCACACCCTACGGCAGTCTGTCAACTCCTGTTACTATAAATATTAACTTTTTTTGGATTTTATTTTTACAATGTAATGATGAATAACGCATCTTCAAACTGGTGTCTCAACCTTACTGCCAACTTTTCTCGTTCAGGAAAAATTGCCACTTATTTCCCAACCAAGTATTCCAAAGTAAAACTTTGCTCAACTTTAACTGGCTGTACTGGAAAAAAATGTACTATGAGAGTTTGGCAAGTAACCTTAAAAGTTGGCGCATTTAATAACGATTCCAAAATGGTATAACACTTAGAAGATTACTCGTTAACTTATGCACAATTTTTATTTGAAGAAAAACTGATTGAAAATTTTTCAAAATTTCCTAATTAAACAGCGATTATGAAAACGCACAAGGACCCTTAAGGATAACTGTTTGCACAACAGTGGGCGTCAAAATGCTGCTGATGATGATTTACCTTTACAGCAAATGCTCAAAACTGTTTTCCTTCAGCCGCAATACACGCTCGACATCTTTTTAAAAAAGATCGGATTATTAAACGAGCGAATCCACGGTTATTAACACACTACGCTGCTTCCAATAGTCTTTGCCGTAGCTCAGCTACATTTGGAATCGGCTTGAAATACACTTTTTCTTTTACAGTTCCCCAGTAAAAAAAATCTAACGGATTCAAATCTGGTGACCGGGCTGGCCACGGTATTGTACCAGACCGCCCTATCCATCTGCCTGGAAAGTTTTGATCGAGATACTCTCTCACTGAGAGTGCATAGTGCGCTCGGCAGCCATCATGCTGAAACCACATGTCCCTGTAAATACTCAGTGGCACGTCCTCCAATAAATTTTCTAAATGATTTTGCAAAAAACCTAAATAAACCTCAGCAGTTAAAGTCTCTGGGAATTCAAACGGACCGATTATTTTACTATTTAAAATTCCTGTCCAATGGTTTATCTTGAAGCGATATTGAGATTTATCTTCTCTCATCAAATGTGGGTTTGCTACGTGCCACTCGTGTAAGTTATGCAGGTTCATGTACCCATCTTTCTTAAATGTGGTCTCATCTGACCATAAAATTTTTTCAAAGAACCGTGGATCTTCCCTGTGTCTTTCTAACATTGTGCGACAAAAAGCAACTCGGGGCTCATAATCCCGGGGCAGAAGAGCTTGAACACGCTGTACGTGGTATGGATGGAGCATGTTTTTTTGCAAGATTCTATGGGCTGTACTTTTGGGCACACCTGTTTTTAGTTCTATTGCACACACTGAAGTACTCGGGTCTTCTTCGACAGCTCCTAGCTCCACGTCTTCGTAAGGAAGGAAAGATCTTCCCTCACCGTGTGATTGGTTTGGAAGTTGGCCCTCTGAGAACAGTAAGCGGTGCACATTTGTGAACACTCGATGATCTGGATGACGAGCTGCATTCGGGTACCTCTCACAGTAAAGTCTCGCTGCAGCACTAGCGTTGCATCTTCATTCCCCATAAATGAGGTGCATGTTATTCTTGTACGGTGGACACGGACATAGCGGCACTGCACAATCACACTATCAAAGATAGTCTCAGGAAAGCAAATGTTGTTTTGAAGAGCAATTAAACAGTCCAAATCCAAATCACAAGCGATCAACAGTCCAGTTCACGAATCCAAAATCAGTAACAGTACGAAATCAACAAGCACGAACATGTAAAGATGCGCAGTAAACGAAGGAGTACTGATCGGTATCAAAGTGTGCAATAGCAAGTAAGTGATGTGCTTCATCCATACCACATACAGCGTGTTCAATCTCTCCTGTCCCGGGATTATGAGCCCCGAGTTGCTTTTTGTCGCACAATGTTAGAAAGACACAGGAAAGATCCACAGTTTTTTAGTAATTTTATGGTCGGATGAGACCACATTTAAGAAAAATGGGTACATGAACCTGCATAACTTACACGAGTGGCACGTAGCAAACCCACATTTGATGAGAGAAGATAAATCTCAATATCGCTTCAAGATAAACCATTGGACAGGAATTTTAAATGGTAAAATAGTCGGTCCGTTTGAGTTCCCAGAGATTTTGACTGCTGAAGTTTATTTGGATTTTATGAAAAATCATGTACAAAATTTATTGGTGGACGTGCCACTGAGTATTTACAGGGACATGTGATTTCAGCATGATAGCTGCCCAGCGCACTATGCACTCTCAGTGAGAGAGTATCTCGATCAAAATTTTCCAGGCAGATGGATAAGGCGGTCTGGTACAATACCGTGGCTAGCCCGATCTTTTTTAAAAAGATGTCGAGCGTGTATTGCGGCTGAAGGAAAACAGTTTGAGCATTTGCTGTAAAGGTAAATCATCATCAGCAGTATTTTGACGCCCACTGTTGTGCAAACAGTTATCCTTAAGGGTCCTTGTGCGTTTTCATAATCGCTGTTTAATTAGGAAATTTTGAAAAATTTTCATCAGTTTTTTTTTCAAATAAAAATTGTGCATAAGTTAACGGGTAATCTTCTAAGTGTTATACCCTTTTGGAATCGTTATTAAATGCGCCAACTTTTAAGGTTACTTGCAAAACTCTCGTAGTACATTTTTTTCCAGTACAGCCAGTTAAAGTTGAGCAAAGTTTTACTTTGGAATACTTGGTTGGGAAATAAGTGGCAATTTTTCCTGAACGAGAAAAGTTGGCAGTAAGGTTGAGACACCAGTTTGAAGATGCATTATTCATCATTACATTGTAAAAATAAAATCCAAAAAAAGTTAATATTTGTAGTAACAGGAGTTGACAGACAGCCGTAGGGTGTGAAATTTCTATATATTTTCCAAATACCTATAATTTTCAAAACACATATATATTTTTTTTAAATATTTTTCTGATAGCTGTTATGACTTTGCCTATCACCCGGTTGCGGCTTGACGTCGGCTTCTGGGACAACCTGTATGAAGGGGTACTACTCCACTAACTGGTTTTCGGCACCTTATATCCCAGAATCTGAAGATTAAGCAAATGACGCTAATTTTTTTTTCAGCACAATACTGAATCACTGAGAAAGAAAGATATAATACGTCTGAAATTATACAATCAATAAACTATGAAATTTACCAAAATAATCATTGAAAAGGGTTTGGCCTAGGAATGGGCACTCTACCATCAATAAAGAGAAATTCAAATTACAAATAAGTGGTCAAAATAGTAAAAAATGGTTACGCGATTTTGGGACGTGAAAACTCTGCAACCAACAAGCTCATACATGTTGTAGAGATCTCATAGGATACATCATCATGGCATAGCTTTGCGAGAAATCAGAGGACTACAGGGTGAATCTGTGCATACAAGAGTTGATTCCTCAACACATAAAAAAATCGTAGGACCCAAACGAAGGATTGTGCCCTCAAAAAACTCTTATATGTTGTAGAGACCTCATAGGAGTACATCTTTATGACCTAGCTTTGCGAAAAATTAGAGGACTACAGGGTGATTCTGCGCATACAAGGCGTCACTGCTTAAAGCGGAAAAAAATCGCAGAGCCCAAACAAAGAACTGTGCCACTAACAGACTCATATATGTTGTAGAGGCATCATGGTAGTACAAAAATTAGCGATCCAGGTTGCACATACCTCTTTCATTTTTCGCCCTCCAAAAATACTGAATTTGCTACGTCGAATTAGCGCCTAAGGCGGTTCAAGAAGCATTTAGGTAGTGGCGAAATGATATGGACTCTAGAAGAGTAGCGTCACTCCGACGTTCAGACAGTTTTTGGCGACGTGTCTGAAATTATATTGTGGTATCCAAAATCCTACATGCAGTTTAACTGCGGTGTCTGTGATATAGCAGGTGGTGAGGAAGAAGGTAAACATCCAGGTAATGAAGGTTTCCTGCAGGTAGCTGACCACAGAACACAGTCTCCTGACTGTGTTTTATGTGTCGCCAAACTAGCAGGAAGTGGGGTGCTGATATTTCGATGTTCCGTTAATGATGTAAAGGCGACTATTGTTATTTCAATATATTTGGAATTTGAGACATCGTCACTCAAGTTGTAGCACTGCGAAACTGAAAAAAATAACTTACGTATTTACTTGAAAAAGCCACTGTGATTGCCGGAACGTCATCAGTAGCAACTATTAGCATATGATGTTTCATTTGCTACTACACAAACATGGAGGATTATAAGATCATTCGATAGCGAATCCAAAGACCTGCCGTTCTTTTTCTTTCAATTGTACCGTGATGGACTGGAGCTCTTTTTATTTGAACAACTAAATTATTGTGATTCATGAGTGGGTAGTACCAAAAACAAGAAAATACGATACAAATTTCTTATTTAGTGTTACATCCTACGTCAATGAGCAATGACAAACATTTCTAAAGTATTTTAAGTTTTATATTTTTATGACGTTTCATGATATGCCCAAAAAGTATGGATTCCTTGTTCCAACATCGGCTGTAGATTGTTCACGTACGTTGCGAGAAAATAGATGTCATGTTCTAAAAATAAATACGAACATTTAGAAAACTTTTGCTTAGAGTGATCTACCAGACAGCGGTAGCACTATCAGGTGGTTATTGAATGCTAGGATAACCGCCAAAGGACATGAAAGAAATAAACCGGCAATAATTCATACTCGACAAAAGAGAGACGCTCTATATATGGACAGGTCACATGTCGAAGTGTCTCTGCTCCCCTGAGCACTCACTGCCGACGGCCTGTTTAATAACTGATCAGATCCCTAACAGAGATTGAGAGATGAATGTTTCTATGGTAGGTCAAATATTTGGTATTCAATAGACAAACCAAAAAGGTAGATTGCACAATAAATTATAATCCACCAGTTCACTGTTATAATTAGTAGCGCAATACAAATGCATTTTCTTTCTTCTCCAACACGATTGCTCTTCAAAACACTCAAGCAACAAGTGA